CTGTAAATTTTCATGAAATCTGGAACATTTTTCAATTTTTTTAATTTTTGCTGTTTCTATGATAACAGCGGCCATTTTTCAAATTCCAAAGTCAAATGGCACATTTACAGATGCCAGTCAATATTTGTGTGAAGTTTCATTCACTTTGGAGCATATTGATTTTTTGGATATCTTTGCTGTTTCCATGGAAATGATGACCATCTTCAACCAATCAAAAGTCAGGTGCATAACTTTACATGTGGGTCCTCGTTATAGTAGAGTTCCATCACTTTTGGTCCATTAAATTCAGAGAACTTGAGCTGAAAAAAGCGTGGAAGAAGAATAAGAAGAAAAATAAAGAACGTAAAATAACAATATGTCATAACTAGATGCTCCTGTGTAAAGTCAAAATCATCAATCTATTGCTTTGCGTTCTAGATTTGTTATTTCATTTAAGTGGTTTCCCTTACTTGGTATTTTTCCCAGGTGATGTTTTGCACTGGTGATTTCGGTTGAGAGTATATATAAGGAATATGTAATAGGTCTGTTCGATTAATGCGACGTTTGTTACAAAGTTGGAAAGGATGTGTTGACTTGCTAGTATATTCAAGTTGTTTTGCGTTAGCTTTCCCTCCCTCCTCCTCTTTCTAGTAGTAGCTTTGTACGCTTGATACTTACGTGTTTGGGAATTATATTACAGGTTGATATGATACATATATATATATATATATGATCTTTGTTGATTTGTTTAATTATATAAAATTTATGCGATCTTTGTAAAGACTGCACAACCCATTTTCTTGTTGTTTGTTTATTCTAGTTAGATCAGAAAATGTTTATTTTAGTACGAATGAAATGAGGTGGAAAATAATTAAACGGGAATAACTATATCAAGAGTTAACTGACAATTTCATTCATGTTGATGCATTTGAACATCCTATCCTGCTGATAATTTTTCGTTTTTAAAGTTTCTATTTGTATATAACAGTTTTCAAGATAATAGGCAAAAAATGCAAAGAAAAATGTCATAAATGGGCAATAACGAATCGACTGAAGATTTCGGCCATTATGGCTTAGTTGTAAATCTTGTCATGCTGATCATTTTTGCTATATGAAGTTTCTAATGCTTCAAATGCATTAATCTGTTTTTTATCACAACATTGCACCCATATCATATTTTTTTAATTCCTCCATGAGTCATAGAAAATGTCTGTAGTGTCTGTCTTGGTTTGTCTCTTCTTTATCGTTTTAAGAGATTTGAACATTTGTAAACTACTGTCGCCTTAATTCATTTCAAATAAAACTTATTTCAGTCATATTCAAATCATGTATTTGGACTACATTTTTGATATTCTATCATTAGTTGTTTCGCCAATACAAAGAGAAAAAAGATATCAAAAGGTTGTTCAAACTTACGAGTTTAAGTCAATGACAAACTGTCAACGCCAGTGGCCAAAAACGGAAAACCACAACATGGCAAACGACAGTCTACAAAACAATTCACAGAAAACTAAACACTGAGTAATTCGAACCAAATTTAAACTCGGTGGATGATTTCAGGTGCTACAAACGGGTAAGCAGATCATATTCATTTTAAAATAGTTCATTGAAATCTCCCAAGTAACTCATTTTTTTTTTCAAATGCAAATTAAAAGCAACTGAGGGGTGTACTATCTGTGAAAAAACCTGCCAGTATGAATAAGATTATTGAATTATGTTTCATGCAAACAAGTCGATCGAAAGCATACTCCTAGCCAATTAAGAAAATAAGATTTGTAAAGTAAATTATTTGTGTTTCAATAATGACTTTGTACGTGTTGTATTGTTTAAATGTATCTCATTGTACTTTTTGTGTTGAAAAGGCTTACATACTATTAGTTTGTGTTGAAAGGGCTTACACGCTATTAGGTTATCATCATGCCCCATTCAAACCAATTCAATTTTTGATCAATTGTTAATATTTTACTACAAAAGATACATTCTGATCACATGATCTACTTCATGAAGTTTTGGTCCTCAATGTTCTTCAACTTCGTATTTTATTTTGCATTTTTAACTTTTTTCATTTCAGTGTCACCGATCAGTCTTTTTTGACGCGCGCCTGGCGTACTATATTGTCAGCCTGGTATCTATAATGAGTTTATATACATTGTGTTACAAACATTTCGGTTATAGATAAGACATAAAGATAAACGATACGACTGTTAGTTAGTACCTACAATGGATATTGTTCGATGTCCCGATTGACTTTATGCACGTTTACCCCTTTTGTTTTAAAGTTTTTGTAACTGTTCATTGAGTCAATACTTCCTTGTTGAACCAGCGAATTATGTTATTAACCGTCATTATAACCTAGTAACGTAAACTGTAACGTTGATTAGGTTATTTTTGTTGTAATTAATTTGTGATTATAAGGTCATATTGACATTTGGGAGTATAAAAGAGAACTGACAGAGGTATTGCACTTTTTTTTCTTATTTTTTGGTTTTTTGTTTGCTTCTGAAATATATCTTTTAAACATTTAAATATAATTAAGTAATCAATATACTTAACAACTGATTTCCTTACGTACTGCGATGATTATTTTAAAACTCAACATTGCTATTCATAATTCCATTACACATTTATTATTACAGAAAAATACGTTACTACTTTACCCCGGTGAAAATATATAAATAATCTCGATAGTTAAACTTCGCATTCAACAGGGTGGTGTTCTAAAATCTATGTATATGATATACAAAATCCCTGATATTTTGCAAGCTGCATCAAACTTACCATAGAAATCGATGCAAATAATCCATACTTGCTAATTTGCTCACTTTTCTGATTTCTATAAAGGGTTCTATTTCCAAATGGCAATTGCAGACAAGTTGATTATTTCGGTAATATCTTTAATTTGTTTTAGCAGCTTTTTATCAGGTTTCAATGTCAATCAACCCTTTAAGCGGAAATGCAAGATAGTATAACAAACAAAAAACAGAACTCCAAGGCAAATTCAAAAAGGGGAAAGTCCATAAAAACAGACAAAATCAAACACTATCAATCAACGGAACAAGTGAAAAACATCTGCCATATTCTTGACTGGGTACAGACATGCCCCCTCAGACATTTTCCGAAGAAAATAATGGGTTAAACCTGGTTTTATAGCTAGCTAATTAAAACCTTCCATTTTTATGACAGATGTTTCTGGTTCCATTATAATGAAAAAATTGGGTGAGCAACCCAAAGATTAAAAAAGACTCTTTACATAAATGAATGAATTTTAGCAATCCCGACGGATCTATCCAAAGCCTTTAATTGCCTTCCATGTGACTTGCTTTTGTTAGACTTAAAGCTTATATCATCCAGCCGTAGATATGATAAAGTAACCTGTAAAAAAAGAAACCATTGTGTTCATATTGGTCTAAACGTTATTAAACTATTAGATATAATTGAAGATGCGACTTAAGGATCATCCTTTACCCTAATTTATCAAATACCTTTATTAATTTTTTTGTTGTTAATTGAGGAAAAGGAGGTTGTAAGTATGGTGTGTGATTCATATTTCTAAGCATATGATAATATCGAATCGCAATCAGCCAAATCATAAGAAAATGTAATAACTTTTATGCAAGAAGGCCTCACTGTGAATTTGAGATGAAGAACGGCAATGAAAGCGCTGTTCCTTTGCTTTTTGTGTGGTTTTTTTTTGCTGTGCATATACTGATTTTGTGTCATTGATGGATGTTTATACTGAGTAAAAAAGTTAGTAAAATCAAACTAAATATTATTTCTATATGCATATGCACATTCATGGCTCTACAATCTGTCGATACCTGTATCTCGGCATTGTACATGGTCATGTTTTTCTCTGACAGTTTATGACGTCTTTACACTAAATTTATGTGATGTTGGATGTGTACTCATAGATATTTTAGTCTAAGATGCATGATATTATTATTAGATGTTATTGGCTTTGGACTACCTGTCAGTAACTGCAAGTACTCTCATATCTATATTTAGTCTCTTTCTGTTGAGGGGATGTATAAGTACCCTGCCACGTCCACTCTGTGTTTTTGTTATATGTACATGTATTTCTGTGTGTATCCATCTGATAAGTTAACCCTTTTTCAGCTGATTTTTATAGTTTGTTTTTATGTTGTACTGTTACACCACTGTCATAGGTTAAGTTACAGGGTTGGGCGCCCGCTAACAAGCCTGTGCATGTCCCAAGTCAGGAACCTGTAAGTCAGCGGTAGTTTTTTTTTTTTTTTCTTTCTGTATAGCATATTTTTTGCTCGTTTATTGTTTTTTATTGTTTGTTCTTGTGCTATTTCATCACTGTCCCAGGTTAGGGGGAGGGTTGGGCGCCCGCCAAACATGTTTAACCCTGCCACATTCTGTATGTGCCTGTCCCAAGTCAGGAGCCTGTAATTCAGTGGTTGTCGTTTGTTTCTATGTATCATATTTGTTTTTCTTTCACTATTTTGTACATAAATTAGGCCATTAGTTTTCTCGTTTGAATTGTTTTACATTTGTCATTTCGTGGCTTTTTATAGCTGACTATGCGGTATGGGTTTTGCTCATTGTTGAAAGCCGTATGGTGACCTATAGTTGTTAATTTCTGTGTCATTTTGTCTCTTGTGGGGAGTTGTCTCGTTGGCAATTATACCACATCTTCTTATTTTAATAGCTACATATATTTTAAATAAAAAAAATATATAACAAATATCTGTAAAAAGGCTACAAGGCAATTACATTTGTTTTACATAGTGAATCGGCAAACATTTTATACTATCTGCGAAACTAACTATTTATCATTCTGTTTATGTTAATTTTTAGTTACTGTACGTTTACTTGTCTCCATTTTTGCAATGAAGAAAATCGCAGGTAAATATAATAGAAAAAAAACTATTTCTTCATGTTGTAAAATCTAACATGCTGTCGCTAAAATCCAGATAAATGAGAAACATTACCTGCGAGACGTCAAAATCTTTCAAATTTCTGCCATCTTAATAAAATAATGCAGATAATTTTAGATATAACCAAACAGTGCAGATATACCGAGACCAAGAACTTAAAGTTATGGTAAGTATTCTTTCAGATATGAGCCATTAACACTTTGGAACTAACAAGGCAATCATACCACATCTCCTTATTTTTATAAGGGCTTGGCTTTTGAATATTTTGTTTGAGCGTTCCTGATGATGCAAATTCAAAAAAGCGCTTCGAACGCACTAAATTGATAAAGTGCTACTTTCATTTACAAGCACTGAGTCGATACCAATGTTAGTGGACTGTAAGTCACGAAGGTACCATTAACTCAATAGTCAGTGCTTCGTTACTGTCATTATTTTAACACACTTTTACAAAACTTTATCATTGGAATGTCGAAAATCTGAGAAATTGCCTGGCTCTTTTAAAAACTACAACAGAAAATAGAAATGCGTATGTCATATTGTACACGTACAGAAATGAAACATAGGTACAATATACTTGTGAGAATATAAATACGAAAAAATGACAATTCTTCAAAAAGGTTGCACAAGAAAATTATAAACATTTCATAGTTACTCACAGTTCTGAATATTAGGAATAGGAATTTACATTTCAACGTGAAAATCAACGTCATGCTATAATTTATTTCTGATGAAAGTTATATCAAATATTATTTTAGAAAGAAAACAATCTCTAAAAAGTTAAATGGTCAATTAGGCCACTAGTCTGATCCAATAGGTTTAACATTCATTTGGCCCGGCTACTTATTCAATCTTCGGAAAAAGCAAAATAACACTCTTTTATTTATTTGCAATAACATTTTGAACATATATACCTCTGGTTTTTCCATGTTATAATTTATCTGTTAATATGATTATCTTTATTTTAAAACTTGTTCCAGGGAAATTATCGGAGGATTGCACACAGTAGTTCTCTTTTAATTTATTTTCGAATTTTTAAGTTTGGGAGTAAAGCGGAAAAGGCTTTGGATTTTCTATAGATAGTTCTTATGTTAAGCTTTCAAGCAACAAAAGGGAAGTTTATCCGTTATTTCCTTCATTTGAATCAATAAATAATAAAAAGATAAAGAAACCAAAAAAGCGAGAAAATATGCAGCACTAATGATATAAATAGATAACAAGATAAAAAGGAAAAAAATAAGAAAATTAATGAATAAGATTAATAAAACTTGTGGAATAAATTGAATAACTTGACTACGTTAATCGAATAAATATATATATCAATAGACAGAACTCTCCGAATATATTCTACAGTGTAACAGATAGAACTGTTAGACTCAATTGCATGATAGACAAACATCTCAGCATTTATTCTAGGTTACTGTTCAAAAACAGCTAAAATCCGTCTTACAGGAAGTATTTAAATAAAGGCAACAGTAGTATACCGCTGATCGAAACTCATAAATCGATAGAGATAAAAACAAATCCGGGTTACAAACTAAAACTGAGGGAAACGCATCAAATATAAGAGGAGAACAACGACACAACAAAAACACAACATTAAAATGTAACACACACAGAAACGAACTATAATATAACAATGGCCATTTTCCTGACTTGGTACAGGACATTTTAAGAAAAAAATGGTGGGTTGAACCTGATTTTGTGGCATGCCAAACCTCCCGCTTTTATGGCAACGTCAAACACAACATCAAAACGACAACATCACATGACAGGACCACAATACAAATAAATGGGAGAACATATAGGACAAAGAAACACACGAATAATAGCTAGCAGAAGGTACTAGGCTTAAAATTCAATACGCCAGACGTGCGTCTCGTCCACACAAGACCAACCAGTGACGCTCAGATAAAAAAAGTTTGAAAGCCAAAACAAGTACAAAGCTGAAGAGCACCGAGGACCAAAACTTCCAAAAAGTTGCGCCTAACACGGCCAGGATTTTCTGCCTGGGACAAGAACATCCTTATTATTTAGAATAATTTATAATTTTGTAAACAGTAAATTTTATAAAATAACTATATAATAGATATACATGATAAAACCAAAGTGGGGACTAACTACAGAATAAAAACGGATACATTACATAAAACAACTTAATCCAACATATAAAAATACACAGCCGGGTAAACTTAAGCCTCAACGCACAAAGTGACGTCACATTTGAAATTCTAAAAAAACACACAAAGTGACGTCACATATGAATTTGTAAAAATATTTCCAAAAAATAAGATAGGATTAGGATTGATTCAAGATTAGATTTGTAATACTGCCATTACATTTATTAATAACAAATTTACATTACTTATTAATATCAAATTGTGGTAGTAATTAGATAGTTAATTGTATTATCTAGCTATGTCAGAGAACTAGTTCTTCTAACAGTTCCAGACACATTTTGTGAGAGCTTTAAACAGATCGAAAATTCCTTTCAAGATAAAGGCACATCAACAGGTGTCGGGTTATAATAGTTTTTGTTTATGATTCCCCTTTTGATCTCAATCATTGAAATACAAAGTATAGAAGAACCTAAATTATATATTAGTTATGAAAAATTAGCTTTATATTGCTGCATATTTAATAAGTGATATTAAGCCTTAAATAATTCCAATTTAATCATTTTTACGCATAGCAACCTGCTAATGGATCGGCGCAAGCTCAGCCACCACCATACGACGCTGACGAAAACTTTGGTTATGTCCATCAGCAACAACATGCAGTGATTATAGTGCCTGAAAACCAATCAGAACTCGTCACAGTGAAGGAAGACAATGGGTAAAGGTTACATTTACTACTGAGGTTCCAGTATAACAATTTTTTTGCAACAATTTGACAAATATTTCAATGTTAAGTTCATAAATTTGAATTATTTCCTTGTACACAACACGTTTTGGTACCAAACTGCAAATGTTTCATGTTTATGTTAACAAAATATCGAAGGACGTCTCTAACCAAAATGAATTTATTTGTATCCGAAAATAATAAATAACTTTACTCATAAAAAACAAAAAAGTTTTAATTTAAGAATGTCCTTATTATGCATTTGTGTATTATAAATCCTAAACTTTTGCCAAACTTCTGTCCATATCCGTCCATCTATCTGCCCATATGCGTTGTAAGCACTTCTCCCCAAAATCGGAGAGACGGATATTGATGAAAGTTTACACATTTGTAGAAACAGACCATAGGACGAACATTTAGGAGTATGATAACGGTTAAACATGTTAAAGGGGAGATAATCAGATAATCAAATTAACTTATTGCAATTCACTAATGGGTTCAATTACGGTTCCATTTTTTAGATCTCAACCTCCTGCATTTTAACGGAAAATCTTAAGTCAGAGGGGCAGAGTATGTTCCCATCGGAAACCCAACCACTTTTTGGTTTATTTTATCTCAAGAAAAAACATAAATATTATCAAGCAAAATAGTTGTAGCTTAAATCATTTCTTTCCATGTCTTATTTGTGTATTTTTAGTAAGTTTTATTTTTTAAAAAAGGAATTGCAACGACTATCACAGATAAAGTTACACCAAGATTTATTTTAAGGCCATTTCATTAATGAAAATACATTTCTTTAATAATATTTTTATGTATTTAGATGATAGATGAATCATTACTGCCAATGAGACAAACTAACCTTTAAAGTATAGTAGCATATCCAATAATTCCTAAAATGGTTTTCACATCCGAAATCGATAATACAATTACATCTATTTACTACGCTATGTATTAGTATTTCATTGCAAGTTCCTTAACGGTTGTAAGTGAACCAAATATTGTGTTATTGGAAAATCACCGGATGCAGATAAAAACGAATGTATTAGCCTATACATAGTGAGTGGAAACCTTATGGTGTTCATCTTTGATCTCATCTGTAGTAGAAGATATCGGTGCAAACACAAAAAAATGCGTTTATACAGTATTTAACGTGTTCTTAGGTATCTATGTCGTTTAAGTAAAACGTTTTTGTAAAATTATTTTCGATGTCTTAAAGATATGGGAATAATAGTTTTAAAATGATAATAATAATTACAAACACATTTGAAATAATCAATATTTAAATCTTATCGTTTAAGAAATGAAACTTATCGTACCAAATGATTAACGTTTCATACAAACATATAAATAATATATTTTAGAAGTGACACCCTTTTCACTAACAACTAAAGTCCTAAGTACACTCTTTTCAGATGTTTACCAGATACAGATGACTGGGAATGGTATCATTGGCTGCTAGCTATTCTATTTGGATTGATTGTCATTCCCATACTAGTTGCTTGTTGCGTAAGTTTGACATGCATGTGTACTCATTCATCCATTGTCCTTACATTATGGTATTAAATTTTTTTGGATTTCCCTATCTTTTGATCTTATTAATCAAATAGCTTGGCCAATTTGAACCAAAGTAATGAATGATGTATGGTAAGTCGACTCCAAACATTGTTGCTTCACTTTTCGAAACAATTAGGCGTTTGGGAAATAAGCTTCAATTGCTGTATATAGATGGACTACTGGGAGGGAAAAGATTGCCACCGGTGCATATATAATGATTTCATTGATTCGCGTTTTTCAATTTCAAAAGTCTTCTTCTTTGAAATTACAAGGCAAAATGTTTTGAAACTTAACAGAATAAATGATTTAAAGACCCCTACAAGCGATCGTCGTTCAATGGTTATCGGACGGCAGACGTGGTTCTATTCATGATACACATAATGCCACTGTTGGCACACAAAGCATTAAGATAAGAAAAGAAGACGATGAATAGGAAGGGTCACAAAACTTAAGATTAGTGTATAACTTCTCGGTGATGAAATTTTTTTCTCAAATTTCTATTAGAATCCGTTCATAAAAAGCCGATGTTGATGCATTACGCAATATCGTATCGGTAAATCCTTATTAATGTCCGTCAGTGTTTTAATGTCGCATGAACACCATTTAAATATCATGGGTATCTAAATGACTCTGCAGAACGTACATATACGAAACCACGTCCGGTCGGAATTGGGAATTAAACCCAATGCCTCATGTCACGCCCTCTGCACGCTAAATAACCCTTGCAGCACCTATTTGGGGGTTCCGTAGACTACCTGTTGCAAGCCATTTTTCAATGGCAGTCCAAATTTCAATTAACTTTTCATAACCTACAAATTGCTCTATTGTGACTTCGTTTCATGCTTGATATGGATGACGTGTTTACCAAACAAAAATCATTCAATCATATAACGTAAACAGTATATAGAGAATAATTTGATACTCAATGTCGATCGTGTTTTATAAGAAAAATATTTTTTCAGATATTTTTCGGAATTTGTATTTACTGGGTACCAGAGAAAAATTAGAGGCAGGTGATTATGGTTGTTATCTTATATTTATAGATATATTAGATGTTACATCCCAACATCCAAATAAAGAAATAAAAAAGATAGAAAGTATGTTTTGGAGAAATGAAAAGTTATAAGTGAAAAAAAGAAAAAACATATTTTTTGTACTTATCGTAATATTTTCATGTTTCTCGGTGATTTATTTCGGATTTTTACTTATTGTAATATTTTCATATGTTTCTCAGTTATCTTGATTTCGGATTTTTGATTTTTTTTAAGTAAATGAATCATTATCCATTATCATCTTAAATCTTCTGAATTGGCCAGGAAGAATAATTTCTTTACTTGTACAATTGTCAAAGGATGATGACAAGATATTCCGTAATCTATCAAATTGCCAACACAAAAGGTTGAATAACTAGCAACACATTAGCGCATATCATTTAAGCTGTGTCGTTTACCCCAAAACTCTTTTAAAGATACCAGGCTAACAATTTTATACACCAGACGTGCGATTTATCTTCGTTAAGACTCATCAGCGAAACGGAAGAAGAAAGATATGGCTTAGCAGTTAGTGTGGTTTGAAAATGAATAGTTTATTTTCGCAAATTTATTCTGTATGTTTAGAAAATATTCCCTTATACAAACTGAATACTGAATACTGAAAGTAAAGAAGAAACCGATCTAGACAAACAAATACAATTACTTGTATCGTGGGATCAAATCAACGTGGCATTTTGAGCATTGAACACTGTGTAATTGTTTAAGCCTCTAAAACAATAAATAAAATTGAGAATGGAAACGGGGAATGCGTCAAAGAGACAACAACCCGTCCAAAGAGTAGAAAACAGCCCAAGGTCACCAATGGGTCTTCGTGTACATGTATGTTTCATTTCTTAGCATTATAGAGGTAGTCTAATTAAGATTTACTATGTTGTCATTTTCAGAATAACAGTTTGTTCCAACACAGAGTTTCTGGACAAACGTTTACCTGTAACAGATATAGTGAATAATTCATAAACATAATAGTTACCATGTAAAGAATACTTAATGTTTATCGATTGTTTGATGGTTTTGGGTTAAATCTTACACGTTGATATACTTATTGCTGTCGGTTGGCAACACTTTTAAATTAGTGAGATTCTGTAACTGCTATGTTAACTAATATGTTATTTTTCACGACGTCAAACTTTGACATATCGGGAAAAGATGCATTTTTGACTGATTTTTATCATTCAGACTGATTTAACTTGAAAACGAGTTCATGTACCCCTCTTTTTAAAAATTAGATTTGGCTTGATTTTGTATGAAGATTCTTTGTGCCAATTTTTATGAACAAATCACCGATGATTTTTTTTTTAAATCAGAAAAGAATGCAGCAAAAAATGCCGTTATTTGACTAAAATCATGAAAGTGTGACAAAAATGAATAATTTCCAAAGAATTGTTTCACAAATTCAAAGCGCACATATGTAGACAAGATATTCCAGATGCTTTTACAAAAAAACGCTTGAGTTTATCTTTTGAAACAAAAAGTAAGTATGTCTTTCCAAAGGATAGGAATGTCCAAGAAACTGAAATTTGCAGTAAATGTCTGAAATTTTGACCCCATTTATTTATAAAAGTAGCATATGAAGGTATATTTTTTATTACATATTTGAATTGACTAGGTGAAAAATAGCTTGTACGCAAACTTTCGTCAAAAGTTCACCGTGGGATCAAAACTGTATCGTATGCCCTTAAGAAAAATCTATGGGTTGGTAGTTGGAGATTTATTGATTTTAAGACAAATATAAGAACTTTTTTCGCCGATTTTATGTGCTTTCTATACGAAAGATCACCATTCTTTCTGAAAATATTCATTTAGTAATATTTCAGAAGATAAAAGAGATAAATGTAATATTTTTTCGACTGTTAGTTAAAATTCAAAGTGTAAAGTTTTTAGCACATCTTCAACTAAACACAACTATTTTGGATTCTGTTTAATGAGCGTTTATTTAATTATCAAACCAGAAAATAATTCCCAAACCCATCTAATTCGATTGCGCTGCTTTATACAGGTAGAAAGTACATCACTGCTGACATCGAACATGCATGTAAGTTATGATTGCTCGAACATATACCTCAACATAATAATAAGCAATAGTAACAAGTAAACCATATTTATAAAATAAATATAAAGGACGGAAAATCTAAATAATCCATAACAGTATCACAGCACATGTAAGACAGGACGGAAGTAAAGTCAGCATTAGTTCTTGCAAAGTTAACAATGAATATATCACAACTGCTTTCTGTTATATACTGTATAGACATTCAGGTTATCTAAAGGAAAAACAGATGAAGAAATCTTGTTAACTAACTTTTTGATATATTTACAAAGAGCAAATAGTCTAAAACAAAACAAAAAACGATTTTTCCTCATGCCGATTTTTAAAACTTCGGAATATATTGAATTGTCGTATCTCCGATTAGTAACGATTATCAAGTTTTCTGCAAATTGAAAACTGAAATATCAGAAGTACGCCACAATATGAAGCTGTTAATGGAGTAAGCGAAGGCTTTATATTCCGTTGGGAAGCTGATAGTTTAAAACGGATCTTTACGAGTTTGACCATAAACTGTGATGCATAAAAATACAGGATCAAGTCTGCTATTAATGGGCACAAATAGTTCCCAAATACATCTTGTCGATACACGTCATTGCCAAAACGTACATAAATGATGTCAAGGAGAATTCACAGCTTTATCATCACAGTTCCAGCATTTATATCTATCATTTTTACCTTTTATCCTTTATATGAGTTGAAGATGATTGATTCACTATTAGATCAAAGACCATTTGATTAAATAAGAAAACATCTGTTTGATAAGATTTTGTAGAAGTGAAGTACCAAAAAGGTCATAACTGTATTTCGAATTCAAAGGACCACCAAATGCAGACAATTTATCCAAATTATCCTACCAATTGTTTGCACTCCGAAATGATTAATTTCATATTTTCATATCATTAAATTATTTTGTACGTTGAATTTGTCGAATGAGCACGTTTACAGAGATTTTCAAAAAAAGCTAGACAGAATTGCTTATGGATAGCCTCTTGTTAGAATATATAATTCTTAAGTCTATGTAAAAATAAGGATAATTTCTCACGTTTCGATTTTATAGGGAGAAAATTTTGTATTAACGATACTATTGAAAAGCTTTATAACGTTACTAGGTACATGTTTAAGCCACATGACTAATTTTGTAGCGGGAATTTTTTCCCCAGTGTCTGTCACTTTCTTGCCCACCGCATGCAGTGCAATATTCGAGTTCTATTTGATAAAATGAATATACAAAAAAATGTATTATAATACATGTTTTATATGTTTCAAAACTTTACACGTCCCAGTAATCATGTTGAGACAACATGTTGACACAGGATTCCAGTTTATCCCACAATTGGGTGATTGGTTATTCCTTGGCCGAAAAAAAAGTCGTCCGTGATCGAGTAATTCAGTTATTTAGTAATTTACAACACGACGGCTGCCACATGTGCAGGAGGATCCGCTTACCCTTCCGGAACACCAGATATCACCCCCAGTTTTGGGTGGGGTTCGTGTTGCTCAGTCTTTAGTTTTCTGTGTTGTGTTTTGTGTACCATTGTTTGACTGTTGGTCTTTTTCTTTTTTAGGCATGGCGTTGTCAGTTTATTTTCGACTTATGAGTTTGAATGTCCCTTTGGTATCTTTCGCCTCTCTTTTACAAGTATTCAGTTTACATTCATTTCAATCATAATTTATTTTTGTCTGTATTAGGTGTTTACATGTGTCCAGCTAAATTGTTCCTTTATTCATGATTTTGAAAGTTTAGATACTAGTATAGGTGATTAATGTTTTTTCGTTGATCATATATATATATATGTTTTCTGTTTGGTAATAAATTAATAATAAGATCTATTTTGTTTCATCTTGTGATCCGTTTATTTAGCAGTCGCCAATGGCAGTCAGCAGGGTTTAAGAACATCAGTTGTTCGATCTGCTAGTCAAATGCGTTTTGTTAAAATATACTTTTTCACTCATTTGATCTTTTGGAAAATGTTGTTTGTGCTGTATTTAGACCCCTCTACCAACAAATTTGTTTTGCATGCACACGTATAAAAATTGCGTTGTTTTCAATTTAGACTTGAATATATATATATATAACTTAGCTAATCTGCCTAATATATCATGTACTGTGTTACAATCTAGATTCTACTGACGAGGAAAGGTAACACTAGGCCACCGAAAGCTGAATTTTTAGTTCAGTCTAGGTGGCCGAGTGGTCTAGAGCGCTGGACACAGTGCAGGCGGTGTTGTCTCGATATCACAATAGCATGCGTTCGAATCCCGGCGAGGGAAGAAAAAAAAATTGCTTTCGCAAATTTGCAGATTTAACATTGTTGTGCTGATATTTAGAGTAATTATGAATATATATATATAATTTATAAATTATGAATTAATTAGCGTGTTTACGTTATATTCTTAGACATTTATATAATTTATAAATATATGTAAACAGCTAATACATTTTGTTGTCCACTATGCTTGCTGGGCTATCGGCTATAATATATATATTGTATTTATGCATGTCTTCATATAGAAAAATGAATATGAGTGTTTAGGGTATATTTTATAGTACATTTGTTATCCCTCTTCTATACTATATTATTCTATACAAAATGTCACTGGTCGTAAAGCAAGCAACAATCGATCAATCAGTCTTATAATTAGATTTACCATCAAAACAACTTTCGCTTCAATAAACAAGTTCAATAACTTCCACAGGATTTCCGATTGTTTACAGTAACCAAAATTATAATAAGTCAACTTTATTTTGTCTTTTGATTGTTCGTAATGTGTGGTTGTCCATCGTTAAGATTGCATTCGACTATAACCTCATTTTAAAAGGTCATTAATCAAAGGTAAATTTGATGATAAGGTCATCTCAATAGTAAATTTGATTAACAAATTATTGAATCTTCCTACGTTTTGGTCCTAATATTTATCATTGTCATGTTTAATTTCTTAATTTTATTAATTACCCGGTAAGATGTGGATTTCGGTTTGACACAATTCACTTTGCCAAATGTTAATGGGACATTGGTAATGTTTACGTTTGTATGATACACCTAGTAACTGAAGACTGATTGATCTCAAAAACTTTCAATGGTTTAAAAGTTTAATCGAGCTTATATTATGTCCTTGTTTCTATATTATGCCGACTCTAAATAAAGCTTATTTATTTATTCAACATACTCAATTGATCAAGCAAGACATTTCAACCGTGTGTTCTGTTATTTTTTTTGCCTCATGTTTACAGTATTGAAACAACTTGTGTTGCCAGTTAGACGAACAGAGAATAATGTTTAGAGTCACTCTTACGCAATGCCAAATTTCAATTTTGAAAAATGTTTAATTCACTCTACGACAGAAAATCAGAATGCAAACGCTAAAAAAAAGCACAAATTTGATACGACTGAATACCAAAGCTGAATATAATACTTCACATAGGAGTCGCATTGGCTGTCATCAACTTGAACATTTATATTCCTATCAGTTTTGTTTTGTTTTTCAATTATATATATTCTTATTTAATCAATATCTTTTTATATTGCTGTTAAAAAAAGTAAAATTGTTGAAACTTTTATTATTTGTAATGTTCACCTGTTATCGTCCCCCATTGCCATTAGACAACAGCAAACAATCTGAAATAAAACAAAATCATTGGCCTAAATAGTCGCATTGTATTTATTATTTGTACAAATATACACCAAATGAACTTCGCATTAAGGGGGAGGGGGGATTGAAATCCACAGGACAATATACGAAAGAAAATAATACAAAGCAACAAGAAAGTGTACGAATCAATCAAAGTAGATGCATAGGATATTGATGACGGATCATTGATAGTTTATGTTTCATTTGTTTTCGCCTTTTTGTTTTTACTTTTGACGATTAAATTCTTGATATATAGTAAAGGCACTTGTGTATAATTGAAGACTCTGTTAACTCATCGGTATTTCTTTAGTTCCTTGTGTAGTTTGGTTGCTGTCTCTTTGAGGTATACATGTCTCATATTCTTCATATATAATCATGTACATTTGGTACATTTGTCACATTTTCCATTAGAATGTTTAGTAAACACAATATCAAAAACAAATATCCAATTTATAATTAGAAAATATTTTGCTATGTATATGTGTTTAAAGTATCATGCTTTTTTCGATAATAAAAAACATCATTTTATATTTAATAGAAAAACACAAAAAACGATGCATTTCTAAGGAAAAAACACTAAGATATGTAATCAAATACAAGTTATGTACAAAGTCAAGTAAAATAAATGGGGAATGTGTCCATGGGACACAGATGATGCCCCCGCTTGTAATGTTATAAAGGGACATAACTCAAGAATCATTCTTGAATCTCTGATGGTAAAAGTAACGCTACCTAAATTCGTACTTGATCTGAGTGGTAATAAGCATTGTGTATAAGTTTCATAACATTTGGTTGAGGCAAACTTAGGTTACAGAATGGAAACGAAAAATTCAGCAATTTTTCCATTTGTAAAGGGACATAACTCTAGAATGGTAAAAGTGACGCTACAAAAATTCAAACTTGATCTGTGTTTTGTGGTAATAAGCATTGTGTATAAGTTTCATAATATTTAGTTGAGGCAAACTAAAGTTAGAGAATGGAAGCAAAATTTCAGCAATTTTTCCATTTGTAAAGGGGTATAACTCTAGAACGGTAAAAGTGATGCCACCAAAATTCAAACTTGATCTGTTTTCTGTGGTAATAAGCATGGTGTATAAATTTCATGACATTTAATTGAGGAAAACTAAAATTAGAGAACGGAAGCAAATTTGGGGTGTACGAACGTACAGACGGAGAAGGGTAAAATTTAATGCTCCCTTCGCTACAGCGGGGGCATAAAAAAGTATAACAAAAATACTCCAAGGCAAATTCAAAAAGGTGGAAGTCCATAAAAACTGACAAAATCAAACGCTATCATTCAACGGAACAAGTGAAAAACAACTGCCATTTTCCTGACTTGGTATAGGCATTTTCCGGAGAAAATGGTAGGTTTAATATTTGGATGATATATTGGCTCTCAATAATGACAACTTCAGTATGTATACTAAAGAAATTTATCCTGTTGAACTTACTTTAAATAAAGCTAATACTAACAATGACCACTGTCCTTTCCTCGATCTTGATATCTATATCATTAACGGGAAGCTTAATACAAAAATTTATGATAAAAGAGATGATTTTTCATTTCCTATCGTTAATTATCCATTTTTAGATGGTGACGTTCCCTTGTCACCTTCTTATGGTGTTTATATATCTCAACTTGTACGATTCGCTCGTGTATGTAACAACGTATTAGATTTTAGCGAGAGAAATTTATATATTACTGAAAAATTATTACACCAGGGTTTTCGATATCATAAACTAGTCAAAACATTTACTAAATTTTATCATCGGTATAAGGACATCATTCGTAAATATAACTCAACATGCAGACATCTTATACGTTCGGGTATTTCACATCCAATCTTTTATGGTAATATTCTTTACAAAGCACAAAAATGCCAGTATTCACCTCAAAAGCTAACAAAACCTTTAAACAGACTTATTAAGAAGGGATATAGTTACGATACTGTTGTCAGGTCATTAAAGATTGCATATTTTGGCTTTAATATTGATTCACTTATAGGGTCTTTGCATCGGAATTAAACATATTTATTCTAAAACCAGTTGTTGGCATGACACGGGTTGTGTTCTTCTCATATATTTTATGACGGTATAATACTAAACCCCTAACAGGAGGGATTGTGCCTGATATTCATATGATGAAGACATAATCTTTCAATCAGTTTAATTGAGGTCTGGAGCTGGCATGTCAGTAACTGCTAGTAGTCTGTTGTTATTTATGTATTATTGTCATTTTGTTTATTTTCTTTTGTTTCCTATTCTGACATCGGACTCGGACTTCTCTTAAACTGAGTTTTACTGTGCGTACTGTTGTACGTTTGTTTTTTCTACATTGGCTAGAGGTATAGGGGGAGGGTTGAGATCTCAAAAAACATGTTTAACCCCGCCGCATTTTTGCGCCTGTCCCAAGTCAGGAGCCTCTGGCCTTTGTTAGTCTTGTATCATTTTTAATTTTAGTTTCTTGTGTATAATTTGGAGTTTAGTATGACGTCCATTATCACTGAACTAGTATACATATTTGTTTAGGGGCCAGCTGAAGGACGCCTCCGGGTGCGGGAGTTTCTCGCTGCATTGAAGACCCATTGGTGGCCTTCGGCTGTTGTCTGTTCTATGGTCGGGTTGTTGTCTCTTTGACACATTCCCCATTTCCATTCTCAATTTTATTAATAGCTTACTAAACCTCCTACTTTTGTATGACAATTGTTTATTTTGTCGTTAGCATTGACAAAATTGGGTGAGCAGCCCAAATAGACATGATTGATTAATAAAACAATAATTGGGATCTAGCACCCAAATATGTATATGTATATATATATATATATTTATATATATATATATATATATTTATATATATATATATATATATATATATATATATATATATATATATATATATATATATATATATATGTAACATCACAGACATACAACACAACTTACTAAAAAATATAAACTAATAACAAAGACGCCAACAAAAAAGGTGTAGTAGATAGTTAATTTAACAATGATGTCAACAACAAAAATTTTGTCGTTGATAGTACATACCGTTATAGTGTACACTTTTTCCATAAAGTAAAGATTAAGTAAATATAAACACAAGGGTTAATACACAAGGTACACTCTATTCCGTAAATAACATTATTCGCGGAACAGTCCAGAGGCTCAAAATATTTTGTGTAATAACAAATAATTTTATTGACTAATCACAGTGCTATATTAGGGCAGAATAATTACAGTTTAATTATGACTACAAGACAAACATACAATACTTAACATGATTTGAATGATTGGTTTATTAAAACATTGAACATATTTATAGATTATCGTTGGTTATCTCAACGAGATTGATTTTCTCGCTTGAGCCGGTACGGCGAAAGCGAGAAAAGCAATCGAGTTGAGATGACCAATGATAATCTGTTTATAAAATTGAGAATGGAAATGGGGAATGTGTCAAAGAGACAACAACCCGAACATAGAACAGACAACAGCAGAAGGTCACCAACAGGTCTTCAATTATCGCTATTTTACCTATGAAGACGTTGTTAATTTCCTTGACAACGGCACGTGTTCCCTTAGATTCTAGCGATAATTTTCATATCACTCGACTCCGTTTTCATATCACTCGACTCCGCTGAGAACGGAAATTATCAGTCAGCAAGATCAAAGGAAAAATTCGTAGAATAGCGATAAATAGATTTATTAAAGAAAAGAACTGCATAAATATACACAACTGGTGAATAAAAGCCAGCAATATGGATTCCACTTGGAACACAAAAATTTAGGTTTTACTAGTGAATTCTGGAGTAATGATAAGCATATCGTATGTTTTACATGGACTCTTTTTTCCATTTTTCTGTTGGCAGTTTGAAATAATAGGAGCCAAGTCACTAGTAGCTGAGCTTTTTAAACAGTCAAACATGTAAATACAGTACATGATTTATTTTTTTTAAAGTATCCGAATTCTTGAAGTAATAATTACCTTCTGGCTGTACATAAGTCAAATCAGGTGTTTCCCGTAGGGTATTTAATGGAACACACAACCCGAGTGTTAAGTGTTCTATGTAGCAATATATGACCTTGATAACCCTTGAGACGTCCTAGTTCGCCATTTGATATGTTAATTAACACTTACAGCAATAGCCAATACGATTGGTCCTAACAATATGACGGCTAAAACAGCTAACAGCCAATTCCACCATTTCCAGTCAGTAGTATCAGGCATACATCTGTTATATAATAAATAAAGACAAATCAGGTATATTGTATATTTGTAGAAGTCAATATGAGTTTTTGGACATATAAATCCTTACAAAAGAGAGGCGAAAGATACCAAAGGGTAAATAAACTGACAAAGTCATGGCTAAAAAAGTCAAACAACAAAATACAAAACACAACACAGAAAACTAGAAACTGGACAACACGAACCCCAAAAACAATCTGGGGTGATAAATCCATACAAACCAAAGAAAAATTATAATGCAACTGGTCAGTGTTGTTTTCAATCAAGCAATACAGAACTATCAGAACGTCAAAGACAAATATCAATTTTAAACTTCCAGTATGTATATAACGTGGTAATAACAGCAACCAAAAACTTCCAAATTATGAATTCACAAAAAAAAACATCCATTCAAAACAATCTGACCAATTAAATTGTAAATTATGATGATTTCAAATCAGACAAGAATATTTTTTTGATTTTTTAAATATGATTGTGCATTAAATTTATATGAATATTTTGTTTAAGGGTATACATTATGACATGAAACGTCAAGTCTGACATATATTATACTTTATCATCTGTCAAGTAGCTGCTGTTTACGTGATGATTAAAACCTATAACTCGTTAATTAATCAAGCCTAAATGATTTTGATATCTAAAAATACTTGAATGCGATTGGTCAGTTAAAATGTGTCCCTTTGCTTCGATAGATCCTATTGCCGAAGCTATTTTCGTTACCTATGTTAATACTATGTCGATTTCACTGTGACCTATTCATACGCGATACAATTGCATGTGATCCTCTGGTTCCAAGAAAATTGAAATTGAAAAAAAAAAACTACAGACTGTTTGTTCTATTCTAATGCATAACAGAAAGGATCCTTTGCATTAGAACTTTAAAAAAATTATAAAGCTAAAATAACATAAAATTAGCGAAATTTTATGAATGATTTTGGCGCATTAAAAATTATGAATATTTGGTTTGAAATTTATAAGGATTTTTTAGGAATGCAACTCATGGAAACGTCCGTTGTCATCAAGACCAATCAGCAACAATAGCGGGGGCAATATTAGGTGTCGCTACAATAATCGTTGACGAATAAAAGTCCTCGAAATCAATCTCAAAACAGGCGTTTTAACTTATTTTTTAACTTGTCATGGTGTTACTTTGATTGAATCTAATGATTGTATGGTTAGAAATAAATGTGACTCTAGGTTAGAATGAAAAATGTAAATGATCAAAAGTATTTCAGAAGGATTTTAATTGTTTGAAGTGTGTTTTATTGCATATTCAAATATAAATATTGCTGTGGAAATATCACCAGTGACAGCTTATTTAAATGAATTCATTTACTGTCTTTTAATCTTGTTCTTTAGTTCTCTGAAAAGTAGGGTGATATCTCGTATTTTTTAGAATACATAGTTGTAGAGTGAATTTCATTTATTTTCTACTTGATTTTTGTTATGTAAGCTCTTTTCTATTAATTTTGCTGGCTTTTCACATTTCACTGGGATAATCTGGGGAGATAATCACTTGTACACAAATCGGCAAGAAAACCACCGCTTCGTGTCCGAAAGTCTAATGTCATGTTTTTCTCTGACTTAGAATGACTTCTTTACACTAAATCCATTAGATGTTGGATATATTCTGAATGATTTATTAATATAGATACATGATGTGTTTTATTAGTTGTTATTGGCTTTGAACTAGATGTCAGTAAATGCCAGTACTCTCAGATCTGTGTTTTGTGTCTTTTGTTGTTAGGGATGTATAAATACCCTTCCACGTCCGGTCTGTGTTTTTGTTAGATGTGTTTCTGCTTTGTATCGATCTAATGAATTAAGCCATTTTCAACTGATTTTTATAGTTTGTACTTATGTTGTGCTGTAACACCACTGTCCAAGATTTGGGAGAGGGTTGAACGCTCACTAACATGTTTAACCCCGCTACATTCTTTATTTGCCTGTCCCAAGTCAGGAGCCTGTAGTTCAGTGGTTGTCGTTAGTTCAGGTCTGTCATATTTGTTTTTCGTAAATTGTTTTGTTATAAATGAAGCCGTTAGTTTTCTCTATTGAATTGTTTCATATTTGTCACTTCGGGGCCTTTTATAGCCGACTATACGGTATGAGGTTTTTTTATTGTTGAAGGCCGAAAGGTTGCCTATAATTGCTTACAGCCACTTGGATGGATAGTTGTTCCGTTGGCAATCATACCACATTACCTTATTTTATATCTATTGCTGGATTTTCATACCAAGTGTTAAACTTAATGAAACGCTTTATTAAATCTAAATTCAGCCCTTTATTTTTAGTTTCCTCGAAACTATTTATTGACGAGTTAGGAAATCATTTATGCGTAAGAATATTTTGAGCTTTAAGTTTTTTATAATGACGGTGCTATATAAATGAGAAAAACTAATGTTTGGCTCCTCCGTAGTTTTACTGAATTTTCGTGGTCATGTAACTCTGTTGTTGCTGATAGACTGGAGGTCAAACCATGACCTGCTTTCCAACTGTTTTTGATGTGTACACTGAATCTCTATAAAAAGGTGCTTAATCCTATATGAATCTTTATTCATACTAACGTTAAAGTTTCTCACACAGATGTGACTTTAAACGATAATCGCATATTTGCGGTAATTTACTCTTTGCAGCAAGGGGTGAATATGAATTTAAAACAACTGTCATGCGTAAGTAGAGATGCATTAACTCATTCTTTATACCCTTTGTCTTCCTTTACAGTTACAACTTCTGGACGATTCTGATTAATGACAACAACAGACTGTTGCTGCTGCTGTTGCTGTGGTGGTGGTGGACCATACCCTGGATGGGGTGCATAGCCAGCATGAGGATGTGGTGGATAGCCAGCATGTGGATGTGGCGCATATCCACCTTGGGGAGGCGGTGGTGGTGGTTGTCCCGGTTGATAAGGAGGTGGCTGGTCACCTGCAGGCGGATACTGACCTGGAAGCTAATGAGAAAACAAATTACATACTTGATAGTTACATGTACATACATTAATACTTATTGTTTTAAAAATCTAGAAATGATTAATATTATATGTCATATAATTTAGTTTTCTATTCATTCCAATTATACAAATATATAATTTACATCACTGTTAAACATTTGACTTGCAGTTGTTCTATGAGAATATTTTGATAATCAATCGGATGCATGATCTCTCGTGAAATGGGGCAGATCCTGCTCTCAAACAATACTTCTAACGAGTTATAAAAAAATGACCGTACAGCTTGAAAAAAACATACGATGACGTAAATTAGATTTGTATATAACATCGGTACCTGATGTAACCAGAAAATTGTTACAATGTTAAAAGGGAATAATATTGAAAATCGGGTATAAACATTTCGATACACATGTATATCATTTTGGTGGTGTGGTAAAGGTCCAGAACACTGATCACAGTAATGGAACAAAACACTGGTAATAGTTACTGTAACAGTTCAGATACCGTTCATCGTAACGGTCCAAAACACTGATAAAGTTAACGATCCAGAAACCTGATCAAAGAAACGGTCCAAAACACTAATTATAGTAACGCTTCAGAACACTGATTACAGTATCTGTCCATAATACTGATAATAGTAAAGATCCGGCCACAGAGTTCGTTCGTTCGTTGATTGGGGCCATTATCTGGCAGAAAGCAGAAGCAGAGCATAGTAACGATCTCGAACACTGATGTAATTAATTGTCCAGAACAATGGTATAATAACGGTCTAGAACAATGATCTTACATACGGTCATGAACAATGGTATAGTAACGGTCAACAACACTGATTATAGTAACTGTCCAAAACACTCGTCTGATTTCAGTAAAAGAGAGGCGAAAGATACCAGAGGGACATTCAAACTCATAAGTCGAAAATAGACTGACAACGCCGTGGCTAAAAAAAAAGACCAACAGACAAACAATAGTACATAAAACACAACATAGAAAACTAAAGACTGAGCAACACAAACCCCACCAAAATCTGGGGGTGATCTCAGGTACTCCGGAAGGGAAAGCAGATCCTGCTCCACATGTGACCCCCGTCGTGTTTTTCATGTTAGTACAAACTCGGTAATACGTCTATTCGGTAGGTCACAATCGAGAAAAGGGGACGGGATTGTAGTTAGGACATTAGGAACATAGCCGTTATCATCTGTGAAACGGATACCATAACGGTCAACCAACTCGTGATGGCGTCCGTAAAACTTACGAAGGGATGATTTCAACTTCACCAATTGGAACTCTTGGTTTAATAACTTCCTTGTGAGCAGCAACCCTCTATCACGGAAATTATAATAGGAAATACAAGCCCTGGAATATCGTATCAACTGGGAGATATATACTCCGTATGCAGGCGCTGCTGGAATGTTGCTACATAGAAATGGAAAGTTCACCATTGGGAAGCTGAAATCATCTCTTTTGTCGTAAAATTTTATTTACAACCGACCCTCATTGTCAATTTCTAGATGTAAGTCAAGATATGAGGCAGACTTAACTGTATCTGTTGTATCCTTTATCTCAAGTTCTATGGGATAGATGCGTTCAACATAGTCACCCAATTTTGAATTATTTAGTGAGAGAACATCATCTATATAGCGGAAAGTAAAGTTGAAGGATACTGCTAACTTCTTTTCTTTCTTCCTAAGAAGTTCCTGTATGAAGTCAGCCTCATATGAATAAAGGAACAAGTCGGCAAGAAGATGGGCACAGTTTGTTCCCATGGGAATGCCGATTGTTCGTTGAAAAACACGTCCTCCAAACGTAACAAATATGTTGTCAATTAAGAAACCAAGCATCTTGATAATGTCAGTTTCAGAAAATTTGTTGTTTGAATCAGAGTGATTTTTTACAAAGTAGGTTTTATCCCTCCCTAAGACAAGATACTTGTATCTACGTTGGCCATTCTTTTTTATGAAACAAAGCAGGACCAACTCTTTCAATTTGTCTATTAGTTTGGAATGGGGAATACTTGTGTAAAGTGTAGAAAAGTCAAAAGTTTTAATACTATTGAAAGATGAAAGAGTAACAGTCGAGAACACTGATTATGGTAACGGTCCAGAACACTTATCATAGTAACAGTACTGAAAACTGTGCATTGTACAATGTTACGGTCTAGTACTCTTTTTATACAAATTGTATAGAAACTATTCATAATAACTGTCTTAAACACTGATCATACTGGCTGTTTAAAACTCCAATCATAGTAGCGATCTAGAACTCTGATGAAGCTAATGGCCCAGAACTCTATTCATATTGATGCTTTTTTGAAACTCAGATTATAGCTACAGTCTGGAATTGTGACTATATCAAAGTAACGGTAATGAATTCTGATCATGCAAACAGTTTTAATCCCTGATTAAACTAACGGTCTTGAATCCTGACCAAAGCAATATTCAAAACACTTATACAGAATTCCGATTGAAGGGACATTAACTGTCAAATTCATATTCAATGATTTGAGCCAAATTCTCATTTTGGATTTATAACATACTATTATTTTATGTTATTTTATTTTTTATTTTATTTTAAAAATGTATATTCAAATTACAGAAAGTAAAAAAAGAAACAAATAACAATGCATGGACTCGTTTTAATGTATCAGCATTTCGTTCGTATTTTGGACTAGACACCATTTTTTATTAAATTTGCATATCATCGTCATATTTTTGTGTTGGTCGGACGAGCCAACGAAATGGTTATTCCTGGTGTCTCTCTTGTTTCAATTTTCTTTTTAATGAATGAACCACATGCTGAACACTGCGCAACCCATCCACTAGAGATAAAATTGAAGGTTGCATGGATAAGGATTCAAATGAGTTGAATTATTGACTTGCAAGCCAAAAATACATCAGCCATGTTTTTTGTTGTTGCTTATTTTGAAGAAATTGAACCAAACTAACTGTTAATAGCGAAATATTATTTCTATAGTCAGCTTTCATAAATGTTTATAAGAAACACAAACACGCATTTTGTGTCTAATTCGTAGATAATGGCCCTTTAAACAAATGTTGAATTCTCTGATCATATAAACAGTTAAATTCTCATCAAAGTAATTATCTAAAAGAGTCTACTTACATCCACTTCATTTGGACTTTGGTGGATAGTTGTCTCATTGGCAATCATACCACATCTCCTTATTTTTATATAGAACTTTATAACGATCTAGAAGTCTTATCATGCTAATGGTGTAGGACTGTACTCAAGTAAGGGTATAGAACTCCAATCTTATAAATGATCTTGAACTCTGATCCTACTGGGCATAGTATCAGTCCAGAACTATGATGATGGTAACAGAAATGTTTGCTCTAGAACTAGGACAATTGTGACGATCAGGAGTTTTCAAGATTTCGATCAATTTAAACTTTACAGTTTTCAATTAATCTTAGACGAGAGTTTAAAAAAATTATATCATGTATTTATTTTTTGTCTAGGTTTCTTCGTTTCTCTGTCATGTCCTTGTACACTTTTGATCTCCCTTACATTAGTTAATGAAATTGTGACCGACTAATCTACAACTAAAATGTACGTAAATATGAATTTTTAACGATATAACAAATCAAAAGACAACTAAAGGTCATTTATTGCCAAATCTCTCTCTCTCTCTCTCTCTCTCTCTCTCTCTCTCTCTCTCTCTCCTATTTTGATAGTGTGTGGTTAAATATGACAATAATGTGTTTTAAAGAAAAGTGATTCAACTTACCTGTGCCATATTTTTCCTGCAATGTGAAAACTAATATAAAAAGAAATACAATCCTGAGATGACTGATATGTAAATGTCTATTGTATATTATTCGTATGCATTATGTAATGTATATTGAGTTTATCTAATTTGGAATGGTGAGAAAAAATAGATGTATATTACAACGTTTTTTTTATTCGCATTTTTCAATATGTAATGACCAAAATTAGATTTTTAAACCAACGGTTGTTCATGCTGACCTTTCTTTAAAAGAGTTATGGTTGTTATAAGGAATTTATTTCCCTTCCTTTTTGAAGCGTTTTCGTTTTTATCTGACACAAGCATGTTGACAAAAGATTCCGTCATTAGAACCCAGGACCTTGTTTCTATTTTTGTTTAACCTATATCCTTTATATATATATTTTTAACTCAACACATCCTTTATTTTTTTTGTCTATTTGAAGTATCCTTGAAAAGCATCCGCCAACTACACCAACATTAGATATGTTAAATGTGTTGTTACTAAAGCGCAAATGTCTGTAGAAAAAGCCGAAATTTTCTCATAATGGAAGCGCAAATATACAGAATTATTTATTATTTTGACAAAATATCAACACAGTTATAAAATTGTTGTTAATATTCTGAAAAATATAAAAATTAAAAAGTGAAGATTGAAAATAAAATAAGTGCAATTTTTGGAAATATTTCATAAAGTTTGCCAGGAATGAACTTGAAAAATAAAATAATGTAATAAAAAAAATCTTTTATTTATTTGCCTTATTTATTGTTATTGTTTTGTAATAATAAATTATTTTATTAAAGTGTCACGTATTGATTGACAGTTGAACAATATACAATTAAACATACGCAGTATTTAGAATAATCATTATCCAACCTATTTGACTTATGAGACACTGTCAAAATGTATTACAAGGTAATTACTTCGTTCTTAAATTTTGATATAGGACAAATAATAAACTTTAACAAATAAATGCAACTGTTCAGTAGCCAAGCTTTATAATTGACATAATGTAAACCGTATTCTGCATCCTAGCTGGCATTTTTGCCACCCATATATCTAAGTGATCATCGAACTTCTGAAGAACACTAAGGCAGTAACAGAATGCACCTCATCAAGTGTGCAGCAGGAAGAGCTCGACCACCAATAGGACGCCGATACAGAGTGATAAACTCAAAACTTCAGCTACTGAAAGAATGATTCAAAGAGGGACTCAAAAGACTACTCTGACGCATCATTTTATCTACTCCATTTGAACTGAATGAATTTGTGAATCATATTTTGTGATTTGTGACCATGTAAATCTATTGTTTGTGAGTCTTCAAGTGTATTGTTGTGTGACGTTTATGATAAGAACATTATGCATATAGTGCTTTATATTATTTGTTTTTACATTGTGCTTTATTTATACCCTCTTTGTAATAAATAAAACAAGTAACTTTATATATTTGGAAAATAATGTTTGTAATAAAAAGATAGCTGAGCTCTTTATGTTATATTAGTGTCTCAGGTTGATAAGGATGTGATATTGAAAAAGCCAGATGATATTCTCTATTTATTACTATGATCTACAGTGCAGGAAATTACTTTTTCAATATATAGTTTTTAAATTGAAAGGTTTGATAGTCAAATTACAAAATGTTAGAATATGGAGTATTGCAGTATTGCAGTATTGCAGTAAAAGCGCTTACTAAAATATATAGATTTTTACCAAATACTAAAGTTTGAAATAAATGGACTTATATTATTTGAGCTAAAATTATCGAAAAAGTATTTTTAACAGAACATTACAATGGCCTAAAGTAAGATTGTATCAATGGGACAATCAAAATTGAAATCGACTGACATACAGCACCATTGCTACAGGTAAAAGGGACAACAAGAAAGGCAGAGAAGACTACACTCAACATTACAGATGTCATTGAGCACAACAAACCTCTCTGGTGAAGAACACGATAAAGGAATGATAAGCAGTTCCACTAGTGGCATCCTTCGTGACTGTTTGTATATGTTATGACGATTTTCACTTTTGTTGTTCCAGATTAATGAGACTTAGAGCTTACAGAGAGAATAAAACGTTATTTTTACTTGATGCGCATTAACTCATGGATGCCTTGTGTTATTTACTTCAAACCAAATTATTAAGAATGGCGGTCGGAAGTTGTGCATACCTTTTGACGATTTTTACTTTTGTCGTTTCAGACTTATATGATTTTAATCAATAGAAATTAAACAATCTACCTCTCAGGTCAAAATGATTAAGTCATCTTTCAAATAAGTGCAGTTAATTTTCCCATTTGTTGGTCCATAATAAAAAAGACTTTGACCTTCGAAAAATAATAACTTTTTCCAATGTCGTGCACTTATTGAAGCATGTCTGAGTGATTTCCAATCATTAAGAAATAATGTCTGACTGTTTGTTTAAGTTAAGACGATTTTTAGGGATTTCCAGAGTAATGTCTAATTTAATCTGGATATCATCATAGCAATATGATTTTTTTTCGAGGGTTAGAGACTCATTATTCTGGACGGAGGTAAATATGCAGGAGAAAAAAAAACAAGTAACATTTCACTTAATGAGCACTAATTGTGTATGCCTTGTGTCTTTTTAACACAATTAATCAATTTTATTCCACCTTTGCTGTTAACAATTTACTTAATCTACAGCTTCGCTTAAGTATCCCTGTATATTAGTTATTGAATATCTAGGGAAAATATTCAATAAAGTAGATCTATTAAGTTAGATATATTTATACATTAGAACTGTTTAGAGTTTTTATGCCTTGTGTTTTTTGCTTCAAACAAAATTATCAAGAATGGTGGTAGAAGTTTGCATACTTTTTTCGATTTTCACTTTTGTCCGTCCAGATTAATGAATTTTAACCTCTAAAAAAATAAGTAATTATTAATTCAAATCAAAATGATAAACAGTCATAACAAAATATAACAAAAATACCGAACTCCAAGACAAATTCAAAAAAGGGGAAGTCCATGCATAACAACTGACAAAATCAAATGTTAGACTTTATCAACCAATGGAAAACAACTGTCATACTCCTGACTTGGTCATGCATTTTCCATTAAAAAATATGGCTAAAAACTTGGTTTTATAGCTAGTTTAACATCCTACTTGAAAAAAAAAGATATAACTAAAGATAACTACTGACGATTTACTAATATGACGGGCTACACTAGTTATTTAAGCAATCAATCCCCTATATTTATTTGATGCAGATATTTTCATGTATGCCCTATAAAAATTGTCTTTGGGCCTGCTTACCCTGATTCTTTACATACTTATATACGTATGTTCTAATCTTAATCGTCCCTAAATAATCATACCAGAGTACAATGTGATGTGAATGATGATGCTAAGTTAGCATTTTGTGTTTTAATAACGCCACTTTTTAGCCAAAAACGGAGGGAGTCGAGAACAATTTATCTTGAGAGTTATAGTTAAACGTACATAATTGGAATATTGAACAATCAAGAATCATAACGAAACAAAAAGACCAGCTAAACAAATTCACAGATACTACGTTTATGTCTATGCATTTAAAGTGCCTTTAAACAATTTGGTGCGGTCTCACGTCGAGTGGAGTTCATTTGATACCAACAATTTCCACTCCAATATATATCTATTCATGCCCTGACTTATGATATCATAAACATGTTATCCCAAACACACATTAAAATCTGGGTACAGAGAAGTCAAACTAATATCTAAATAATATAAGTTCATTTATCCAAAGACAAGAAACAGTACGTTTCATAAAGAGGTGGAAGATACAATTTTCCAAAGGGACAATAGAAACTCACAAGTCGGAGAGACAGACAAAACCATTCGAAAAAACGAAAAAGACTATAATACAAACAATAGTCTACAAAAGACTATTCGATCACAGGTGCTCCTGAAAGGTGGGCACAATCTGCTCCCCATGTAAGATAGACGTTATTTTTAGTTTTTCTTGAGACCCATTTTTATATTCTCTTTTATTCTCGAGTGAACGATACAGTTACAGGGAAGGTAATGATGTCGCTAACGTGAAATGGTATTTTTCGGGACATCAAAATGTGACATATAAGGAAAAGATCATGTTTCGACTGATTTCAATCATTTACCTTGAAAACAAGTACACCGACTCCTCTTTTTTAAAATAACATTTGGCTTTACTATGTACAAAGATTATTTGTACCAAGTATTATCAACAAATCACAATTTTTATATTTTTTTTAAATTAGATAAATATATGAAGCAAAACATACCGTTTTTTTTAAGCAAAACAAGAATGTGTCCATAGTACACGGATGCCCTACTCGCGCTATCGTTTTCTGTGTTCAGTGGACCGTGAAATTGGGGTCAAAACACTAATTTGGCACTAAAATTAGAAAGATCATATCATAGGGAATATGTGTAAAAAGTTTCATGTTGATTGGACTTCAGCTTCATCAAAAGCTACCTTGACCAAAAACTTTAACCTGAAGCGGAACAGACGGACGAACGAACGGACGAACGGACGGACGAACGAACGGACGCATAGACCGAAAAACATAATACCCCTAGATGGGGCATAAAAATTAACAAAAATGTTGGTTTTTTTTCAAAGAATTGTTTCACAAATTTAGAGCATGCTAACGTTAAAAAGTTATATTAAAAAAATCCGCTATGTTTATCATTGAAACAAATAAGTTAGATATGTCTGTCCAAAAACGACATTTTGGGTACATATCTACTCCATTTATCTCTAAAAGTAGCACATGAAGTATACTTGTTAATTGCATATTTGAACTACCTTGGTGAAAAAAAGCTTGTATGTAAATTTCGTCAAAAAATCACCGTGGGCTCAAAACTGAATTGTACGCCCTTTATTCTATAGTGTTGCATTAAAAATACTTTGCTTACATTGTGATCTTTAAGGAGCTAATTAAGAGAAACAAACTGAGGTCATCATTTAATAGCTTTATAAATAAATTGTATACTTCACCCAAAATTTATATATACGGAGCAGTTGATTTCT